GAACACAAGAATGAACTATTAAATATGCAAAATACACAAGAACAGCTTCATTATGGATTGTCAAAAGTAGGCTACGAGCTGCAAGCTATACCAGCCATAATGACTCAGATGTCCTCTGACAATAATGAATTATAAGGACAATCTATCACTTTTACCATAGGATTAAAGTTACTAGGTATAAAATGAAATCTAACAGAGATATTATCTACTAAAGTTACATTGCAGTCAATGGTAAAAGTCAACCATAAGCCTTATATGACGTCACGTTTAGCCACACCTCCTGACAGGATGTAAAATGGCAGGAAGCAAAATGAGCAACTTTGAAGGCTCATATCTCTGTGAATAATTTTTTCCAGACAATAAAACTTTCCATACAGCATTTTTATGATCATATAATCATGTTAGGTCAATAAAAATAATATCCCAAAAAATTATGTCTGTTACACTTTAATGCATTACTGACACTTTCAAAGACCCACCCCCAGATGCATTAATGCGTTATTGACCATGAAAAGGTAAATTTGACGGCCTTTTGTTAAGATTGCTTTCGTGGCATCAAACGATCTTGTTTGCCCCGATCTACATTTTATCAACGAAGTGTTTACCTCTTTCCTCTGCAAAGAGCTTAAACAACTGGTTTGCGGTTGTTGAAGGATTATATATAGAAAGCCGGTTAATGACCACGCCTATATAGTATATTAAAATGGCTGACCTCATGGCTGACAAAGGCACAGGTGACTTCTCAGGTACTATACCATCAGGTTCTAATCAAGATAAAGATAATGTTTCTTATTCAATTTGAGGGACATTTAAAACGTTTAAAGTCCAACAGGAGATTCAACATTACGAGAAGTCCACATCAGTATAATTTTAGATACGTGACTCAAGAACCAAAGAGGCTGCTCAAAGAAGAACTGACAGACCTCTCAATTCTAGTTTGAAGTATTATGAAGTGATTTTTGCTGGCACATGGTTGCAGAAAGTTTAAATCTCAAGGAAAAGGAAAACGTGCTTCATCGAAAGTCAATCACTATACAGTATCATATATATGTAGTTGTTTTTAACATTTAGAACATTTTGTAAAGATTGCCCTGCAATGATGTTTTTGTACTTTAGAAGAGGGCAGCAGTTAACTTTGCAAAAAGTTATAAAAATCCATACCCATGCTGTTAATAGGGTAAATAGAATGTTTAATTATCAATTGATTAAACTAATTATAGAAATTCTTTCAACAACTTTCTCGCCAATGCTAATTAAACAATTCTGAAAGAAAAAGAGCAGAATTTTTTTAAACATAAAAGTTAACAAAAACATTCCGCGAGACAAAATCTCTCAAGGAACAGGAGAAGCTGGGATTTAACAAAAAATTTGCGAAGTTCTTTACAAAACAAAAGTACTTAAAATGATGTAGATATTTCTGTTAACAAACTATCTGATACATATGGTATGTTTAATGCCTATAATATTGTATTTCTTATTTATTATTACCATGTATTTATATGTGCATGTGTTGCAGTAGTTACAAGTGTTTCCAATGTTTTGAAAGGAATTTATTTTCAGGATCAAGAGATGAAAGAGCTCTTTGCAGCATACCCGGAATGCGTTCGTATTGATGCAACCAAAAAACCACTGGAAATACGGTTTACTGTCTATGTTTTACTCGTAGAAGATGGGAATGGGTTAAGTGAAACAGTTATAGTTTTCTTAATGCTAAAAGAAACTGAGAAGTCGATGTCTCTTGTGATAGAATTTTTTTGAAAGCAAAACCCAAAGTGGGAATCAATTTGTGTGCTAATGGGTGATAAAGATGTAAGCCAAAGAGATGTACTAGCTTCTTTGTTTTCCATTAGCAGCATTGCAGATTAGTCTATTTCACACTTTTTGAAGCTTATATCACAAAATAACAACTAAAAAGATAGTAATTACATCTGAAGATGTGGTTAGAATTACTTAAGCAATTGGCTTACTCTACTTCGGCAAAGAAATATCAAGAAATACATTTTGTCTGTGTGAAAGTGTTTCTGCTACTGTTTTGGAATATTTTAACAAAAACTTGCATCCAAATAAGGAACAAAGGACTATGGGAATGAAGTACAACTCGGGAAACTTCCTAAATACAACCTATAATTAAGTGGAAAGTTTGAATGCTAAGTTGAAGTCAGTTGTGTCTACATATTTGTCTTTTAAAGCCTTTATCTAAAGCTTCTTTTTGATCATTCAGGTTCTTAGATCAGAGCGTGACAACAAGGCTGCCCTTGTGGCTCAAAAGGTACCTCAGATTTACCATTCTACTAATGAAAAGTTCTTGGTGAAATATTTTGAATATTTAACAGCATATGCTTTTAAAGTCATGAAGAAACAAATCGACTTGAAAGACAAAGTGATAAACACAAGTCAGAAAAATGGTCACGATAATTATGAAGCTGTCACTCATGATGGTACTGTTAAAGTTACAACTACCAATTGTGATTGTGTGTCTCATGTATCCATGAAGTCACATTGAAGGTACATAATTGCACTCAGAGCTATACTCGAAATAGATATTCTTGCGGAAGATTTGTGACACAAGATGGACTCTTAAGAAAGTTATTCAAAATGTAAGTTTACGAAGTGAGTGTGATCCTAGTGCAGGATATGTGTGGCAGAGAACTGTTATGTTTTTACAGACCTCTTTAATTACATTTAATGTTACAAGATAATTTTAAGCATAAATTGGGGTAGGATTATGACTGCATAGATATATCATTGACACAACCACTAAAATTATGAAAGATGCCTTGACCTATGGTTAACTAAAAGTTCCTATTACCATTTGTTATTTGTTTTGAATTTCATTTTTCATTGGCATGTATCTCCTTTCCTTTACCACTAGTTTTCTTTCAATGGCTGAGAACTCCAGTTCTGACGTTAGCAACACTACTAGCAACATTTTTTAAGATAAAAAAATGCTACATGATGTAATATTACAAGCTAGTGAGAGTGCCCAATGGCCCTAGGTTGTTAACAGAAACTTGCTGAGAAACAACATAATATGCATTGAAACATATAGCCACATCCCATTTGAACAGATACCATCTTCATCTGAAATTAACAGTGGCCTATCAAGATCATTACCTTTTCATGGTATCCACCTACAGGTAATAATTGGCTGCTATTTTGCACGGTAAGGTTCAAAGAGAATGAATGAAGAAAAACTAAAACTTTTTTGTTGTCATGGAGCTTTTTCAAGCTACAGAAGCCGGTGTAGGAAAGAGCAGTTGCTGCTAAGCATCTCCTAAAAGGGATTTGGTGCAATATGAAGCACATTTGTTTGCTTTCGGCATTAGCCCATTGATACTACACACAAAGTTGCCGCCCGCGAAAGTTATCATAGACATTAGAGTATAAAGGAATTAGAAACTGCATAGGCAGAACAAATTTGAAGTTATCGCCGCATAAACTCTAATTTTACGCATGCATAACTTCGAAAGAAAAAATAATTATCATGTGGTTCCACGTGTATTGTACAACAGTACAAGTAATTGTCAGATATGAAGGACGAGGGGAAAGAAGAGCATGAATGATGGAGACACTAGAGACAGAAGGAAAGAAGTGGTAATTAGAAGATGCTGAATTACAAGTAAGTTATCATTGACTGGACAGTTTAATCCTTAAGCTTTTCCGTTTCCTTTCTTTCTCTCGTATTTAAACTTCTCCATCCACCTAGCAGCATGTGCAAAGCCTCTCAGCTTAACGTATTCCTGAATTACATAGGTCAGTAGGCTTTCCTTAGCCTCATTTGAAGTTTTAAAAAAAAAACAATTTCCCATTCAATATTGCACTTTTCCTTTATACTTTCCTCCATTTTGTCAATAGGCAATCGTGCTTGTTCATGGCTAATGTTTTTCTTCACAACTTTCTCTAAGCTGGTAAGTGCAAGTGTATAGTCCTTGGTACCATGTAGCAGTCCTCTATTAATCATTCTACTCCAATTATCAATGCTAATTGAGTCATCAAATTCATCCTCTTCTAGTTCTACATTGGTCTCTGAATCTTGTAGTAGCTGTTACAGAAGGCATATTATTTCCATTGTAGTAGGTAAGCTCTTTTTCAGTATTTTTGTGATTATTTTTCTCACCATATAGCCTCCAATATATTGAATTGCTGCTATTTCATCTGCAGTTATATCTTCCTCGATATTTGTTGAGGCAGGTGTTGAGATCTGCAAACTCTTCAAAGTATTGTGTAATATTTGGTGTTGTTTAAAATGATGGAGTTTTTGGTAATTGCTCCTTCAGTAAAGCATTGCCAGAATATTTCATAATTTGAAGGACTGGTAAAAGGGAGTAGAGAATGGAGCAGTTTTGTGTGGGGAAATTTTGCCTTTGATGTAGTAATAGCGATATTGCTCACAGCAGAATAGAGTTTGTTGGCGTAAATATCAAAGAAAATTGGGTTTGAATTTCCCATTCTAGCAATTTTGTTGCTGCATCTTTTGCCTCATTTGCTATTAATGAATTTACTTCAAAAACTTCATCTGTTAAGAAATTAGCTATTGTCATGTATAGAGCAGCTGTATAATGAAAGAACAATTATTGTAATTGTGGTTTGTATTGTATTTATTAACCTGCTGGTTCTGATTGTTTTATTAGGTTTGGAAGCTATATCAGTGTTTGATGCTCAAGTCCATTACCTACATGTACAGGTGTCAGGAGCTTTGCTATTAATTTTAAAATTGACTTGTCTTTTCACTGATCTTCTATTGAGAGGTGAGTTATCTTCAGGCTCAATTTCAAGTTTTCTTTTATTTGATCCTCTTGCATTTCTTTTTACAATGTCTACATCTGTAGAACTCATTATCCGGCTCATTTTTTAGGACTTCAAATACTGTCGGATTTTCATTTACTCTCCCACGCTGCCTTTGCTTTCCGAAGTATTTTTCCAGTGGATCCTGCTGGATTCTTTTGCTGAGAAATGAAGTGACTAATTCAATGAAAGAGTGTACTACATGATGAATGACAAATAAAAATTCTATTTAATACTATTAATTTTCCATACCTACAATACATATTCCCTGTAATGTCTAAGTTGTCTTCTCTCTTTTTTATATGCATCAAGATCTTCTCTGCTTTAAACTTGTTCTTTCCATTCATCCAACCAGTTTAGAAAATTATCTTTCAACAACAAGAAATGTATAATAATTATTATTGTATTGTACTTACTTTTAATCAAAAGTCATTTTTTCTTCTGTAGGGATACTTAAATGGCTTTTTGGATAGAATACCACTTGAATAGTTGCTCACATTAAGGGCATCAAAAAACTTATCAAACATCTCAACAAAGTGAGCAGTTTGTGCTGCTTCTCTTCCAAGGTGAGCTTTCAATCCTTTTGACACTCTTTCACTTACAACCTGTTATGAATGTACATACATGTACATGTTATAACTATTATGCTTACCTGGGCAACCAGGTGAACTCTCATTTTTGAGAAATTAGTCAAACTTATATGTTCAAAATGAAGCTTTGACATTGTTGTTAATGTGCATTTTGGTTCGTTTTTATGTACAGCTTTTTTATATGATCCCAAGAGATTGATTGACCATGGAACTACATTAAAAGATTATTCAAAATAGTCAAGTTTGATTATACCTCTAACTTTCGTCTTGGGTGTAAAGGCAAATACTTGTAGTTTTCAAAATGTGTGGCGGCTCAGATGTAAAATATACTTACCTGTTCCTGATGTAAATGGATTTTTTGTTTTATGGGGATTTGATGTGTCAACGGACATGAGGTGAAAATATTTTCTGTTGTTGGAGCACCCATTTAATGTGTGTAATATTACTTTTAGACCCATCCTCTCAAGTCAAAAAGTTGCCTCCATTACAATCGATTCAAGTTTTTATCCTGTCAAATGGCTTGAGGGAAAACTGGCATATGGAAAATTGAGAGACCACGAAACATAACAGTTAACATTGAAGTAGCGATCTCAATTTCTTTTGTGTGAAGCTGTTTAAGAATATTGTTCACATTACCCAGGTGAGTGAAACCAATCAAATCACCCCTTTTTTGTTAAAACTAAAGCCTCCGTTATTTTCAATTCATCAGCCATTATGCATATGTACCTTTCATAATTTTGTAGAGTACAATATTGGATTAACTCTCTAGTTGTATGTGGACATCATTTTGAAATCCTGGTTTGTTATCTTATAATGAGTGTAGTCTCTCAGGATTCTGCCAGATGGGAGTACAGTGAAACCCAAATTGCGAAGGTCATTTGAACTTGTAGATGATGCATATATAAACACCATTTAACGAGAAGTGGATGCTATCGTCTACCATTAGCAATTGAAGTTTGGTTTTTCAATTGTTCCTGCCAAAAGGTCTGGCCAAATGTCTTTATACTACCATCTTTTTTTTATTTTCAATAATGGTGAGTAATGTAGAGTGCATTTCATCATCTAATGCAATGTAGGAATTGTGCATATTTGTTGATAATGGAAATGTTGATGATGAAAAAGCAGAAGAGGGAGGAGATAAAGCAAAAGAGGGAGAAGATAGTTACAGAAGCTGAATATTGTTGAATAGTATTATTATTATTGTATGATTATTTCATTATTCATTTCATTAATTATTCATTTTTGTGAGCATGCGCAGTACTCAGTTGAGTCTGCCATTTTATTAAAGAGAAGTTTTTGTTGTGAGTCTTGTACTCTTGTTAAATCCGCTCCAGTCCTGATATTTAGCCGTCCATCTCCTAAAAAGAACCGACTAGTTAATCAATAAAAATGTGGGGTGGACAATGATTCAGAAGCTAAAGATGATGTGGGGGTGGAAGATAATTGGAAAACTGAAGATGATGTGGGGGCAGATGATTGGGAGCTGAAGATGATGTGGGGGTGGATGATGAGGAAGGGCCTGGACTGGATTGTTTTGTTTATTTGTTCTTTTATCAAGGAGACCAGTCAGACTTTTTCTAATTTGCATCGCATCTGTTTGATTTCCTTGAATCAATTAACAAGTCACAATTTATGCTTCTTATGGTATGTAATATGTCATCTATGTGTGCATTGATTTGACCTGTTTGAAAGCATAATGTTACATATAATTTACAAACATTATTTTACCTGCTCTATCACATAATTTTCCATTATTTTCTCTAGCAATTTCAATGAGCTGTGGATCATTATTCCCAATGCATAGTGACATGCTCCTAAACCTCTGAGAACCGATAGCAGATCAATCTCTCTTTTAATTGTTGCATAATTCCTTTGAAAAGGTTGTCCATAAATGCTAAGGGAGAAGGATAAATCGTGTTCTATGATGACTGTCTATTTGATTTGTGGCTTTGAATTTTCAGTGATTATACGTTTAAGAAGAAGAGAAGTAGAAGAATATTCAACTTCATGCCAAGGGATTGGTAATTTTACACTACTGAGTCGTTCGACATTATTAACTGTAATAATTTAAGAAGTAAAGTGTGTTGTAATACCTGTCTCATCTACTGATACTGATATTGAAGTACTAGAAGCAGGTGATTGTTGCTTTTTCTTGTTAATATAGCTCTTCTTTTTTTATGAATATATCTCTGTTTCTTTCCTATTTTATTAGTTAGCTGTATAAATTATTAGTGGCAAGTGAATGATGCAGTTTGACTTGTCATTATTATGCACCGTGTACTGAAGATAATAATTATATAGTTTCATGCAGTACAGTCAGTGCTCATGCAGGCTAAATACTTTCATTCATTTATCATTTGAAAGAAAATTATTTTTAGCACTTTAAGCAAAAATGTAGAATTTAAGAAGAATTTTGTACCTTTTAATCACCGTCAGACTTATGGATCACTGTACTGCAACTGTAAGACATTCAAAATAATAGCGATTGCAACCATACCGTATCTATTATATGGCAGTAGCCTATATGTAGGGTTGAGGTTGATTTTTCAAGATGGCGACCAAATTTATAATTTTCAAATGCTTATAACTCTTCTATCTTACCTTGTACAGCCTTATAAATGGCTTAGATGAGCTCTCCTTCACTGAGTGATTCTCCTGGTACCTTTAAAGTGGACTATAATGTAGTGGGAGGAATTCTGGAGAATAGGCCCAAATTCAAATTTCTGCAAAGTTCTTCAGACTTTTTTTTCTTCTTTCATCTTCTTCTATGCACCAGATAATCTTTTAAACTAAAGAACAGCTCAAGGTGACTTTCACATCATTCCTTGGAGCATGAGTCAAGGATAACAAAGGTACTTTCCATATTTTAATTCATCTTGTATAATTTTAAACTAGTTATTTCGGAGTGATATCACCGCCCCTTGAGATTAGTCGCCATTTTAAAACTTATTGCGCATGCTCAGAGATGCCATAGTGACTACACTGGGTAAATATATTCCCGCTCTATTCTTATCTTTCTCTGTATACCTGTTCCAGCAGTGTGCAGACTAAGTGATTACCAGTTCAGCTAATAGTTTCTTTTATTACAAAGCGAAATATAATTTTACAGAGGAGTCATAGCAAAGAAATTTTTACAGCAGCTCAGTTTTGACAAGTTTGGATACCTGTACCTAAGAGAGACCACTAGAGTTCAGTGTATTCTGTTATATTTCTGATATTGGATATTATTGAGATAAGTCTTTACAGTTATGTTTACTATGATAAGCAGTAGCTTACTTGTACCTCCTGCATACATGTACTTGGTGTTATGG